AGACAACACATGCGGGTGTGGCGTCCTCTTAAACAATGTTATATTCCATACATTATTGCCATATAACGTTCATTAAAATAAAAATAAAAATCTCACAAACAACTTGTTTTTTTCACAATGAACATTGAGCGTCTTTATTGAAATACCCTATATAATAAAAGTTGTTGACATTATCGTATAACCAATTATAATTTTGTAATTTCATATTATTGATATCAAAATTTGTATCATGTGAGAACTAATGGAAATAGGGGAAAATTAGTTTGCATTTAATTAATAAAACATTTAAAAACTCTAGAAATATTTTATCAGATACTAATCTGATATAATAATATTTAATAATAAGATTCTTCACTTATTGAATTTACAATTGAACATTGTAAATTTATTGTAACTAAAGGCTAGTGAAACAGAAGTTCATAATATCAATACAAAATATAATATGATATATTTATTATATTGATACTTCATAAATAAATATTATATTAGTTTTAAATGATAATTATAAAGTTTGGACGATTTAATAAATTCAATAATTTGTATAAATAACAATATTTCAGTTACTAGACAAATCAGTTCAGATAATTATTTTTATTTACCTACCTTCTAATGACTGAGATCATAAAATAAAACAATCAAATTTATTGTTTTGAGAGAGACATAACAAAAATGTCTTCTGCTATAGTACATAATATTTTTGTTTAATTATTTAACAAATAAATACTTACGAATTTTTGTTCAACTGAATAGCAAATCCACTCATTGGTTGCATAGCTTTGTTCTTGAGAGTCATGTCCATACTAATTTGACCATTTCTAAAAAAACAGTAAAATTAAATAATATAAGACCTGTAATTTAAATTAAATTAATATTATTAAATTTAAAACATACTTCCTTGAAAATGTTCCCATAATCTCTAATCCTTTGCCATTTTCACTAGGTAGCCAAAGTTGTTTAGGTGGAGAATAAGATACTGGTGTCGGTGTAAATCCAAAAATGTCACCTAGCAAACCTGTATTTGATGATGAAGTTGCTGGTAAGTCAGATGTAGTTAATAATGAGTCTAATCCAGAAGCCAATAAATCAACAGAAGGTGGTTGAACGGATGTTGGAACAACAGCTGGAGTAGTCAGATCCATACTAAGAAGATCACCAATCAAAGATTCTTGTGGTGCAGGTATAACTGCAGCTTGAGGAACATTACTAGCAGATGCATTTTCATTTCTAAAAGCAATACATGTTAAGTTACTCTATACTATAATAAAATATAGAATACATATGTGTATGTATTATAAATTATAATAATTTTTTTACCTGGCTGGTAAAGATTTTCGTAATCCTGGTCGTCCTTCAACAAATGCATTTGGAGGCTTATGATAAACACTGGCTAGACTAGAAATATGACAAACAAGTTCATCGAGTAAAGTTGGCTCTAAAAGATCTGTTTCCTCAGAAATCAATGGTTTTTCAGCAAGTACAACATCTTTGGCAGCACCCGGATCAGTGGATAGTAATCTCCAATAAATAAAAMCACGATCACGTAAATCAGGATTATCTGAATCTTGTGTAGCCAAACTTAAGACTTGTTGAACTAATTCTTGAGTGTCTGTAGGTCTCTTCAAAAATAGTTTAACTATAGCAGTTAATAACTGTAATTGGACTTGAGTGTTTTCATCATGAAAACCTTCCAAAAAGCTTTCTAATAGTTCATCAGCATTATCTATGCGTTCAGCATATTCTCCAATTATCCAAATCATTGATGCTCTTGCTTCCGGTTCATCAAGTGTGTCCAAGTTTTCACACAATAAAGATATAATGCTTTCATACTTGTTAGGGTATTTTCGGAATATATCTTTAATAACAACAATTGCTTCTTGAACTACATAGTTCACTTTTGTCTGTATAAGATCCAGTAGCGTGGATACACAACGTTCAGCAGACTGCTCTACTTTAATTGCACATCGACCAATTGCACGAACTGCTTTTCGTACAAAATCAACATCAACTTCAGTGGCATACCTAAACACATTTAAATATGAAATTGGTTAAAATTACAAAATTAGTTATTAAAAAATAATTACTCTTTCAGTTCTGAAAGAACTTGAGCTATGTTTGCTTGTGATGCTAAACGTATCATAATATCCAGTTTCTCAAGTTTGACATAAATAGGATCATTATATTTAACAAAAAAAACTTTCATTTCATGCTTAAGTATATCAGGCCTCTTTTGTACTATTAAATTAATATTTCTGAGAGCAACATATTGAACCTATGAAATATAAATTCATAATTATTTAGTTGAATTTTAGACAGTTATATTACAATATTATCATTTAATTATAATTGTGTTTATTACTTCTGGTTCTGTAGATAATAAAGTAACAAGTGGTGGAGCAAGTTTTTTAGTCAACGTAGTAACAAAGTCAGAATCAGTTGGCAACATTTCCATTAGTTTCATTAACACTTTAATAGCAGATAAAACAACTGCAGCATTAGCATGAGCCAATCGAGGTGTTATTCGTTCACATATACTAGAATAAGTAAAACCAACAAATAATCCAATCTAATTTTAAATTAATAACATAAACAATGACCATTTATTTATTTATGCKAGATATTAAGTGCTAAATTTTATTAACATACAATTTGTTATGTCTTCAAATTTGTGGTTACATATAGCGCAGATATTTTATTTCATATTTTTGTTTTTATTTTACAGAAACCAAATAAAATAAATATTTACACAAACAAAATGAATAAAAATAAAATGGTTTTAAGAAATTGAATTTTAAAAATAGCAAAATAATAGCAAGACAATATTTTGGAAGATATATTTATGAAATGTCCACGTTTTCTATAGCTAACCATTGCAATGTATGTGTCAATAGTCAATTTTTACTATATTATAGTTTTTCTAATTTAATCTACTTGTTAGTGCAGAACTAGAGCTAAAATGTTTAATTTAACAAATATAAGTAACTTTTTATGTTATATAAAATTTAATAAAATGTCAACTATAATTAATATTCACCTTTGTGCCTCACGATCATCTTTTGGGCTGTAATTAGCCAACGAATCAAGAATAAATACTTGACCCCATTCTGTACATTCATTTAATGCAGTTAAAAGTTTATTAATAGTTTGTGAATTCATTTCAATCAATGGAGAACCAGTGATACTAGCTTCATTCATTTCAGATAAAGCAGCAACAGCATTAGCAACCACCTTTTTGAAAAAAAAAAATAAGAAAAATATTGTTATTTTATTATACAAGATTAACATATAAACGAGTTATTACCATAGGATTAGAGTCTGATAAAAGTTCTTTTAATTGTTCCAAAAATCCTTGATCATCAACTAGTTGTGCATTTATGTCATAAAGTTTAGCAACACAAACTGCCGCTGTCTTGCGTACATATGGATCTTCGTCTCGCAAGCATTTACGCAATGGTTCACATAGATATTCAGTTATTTTCTCAACTCTGATACAACCCATAGTGCGTACTGCCAAAGCACGTATTAGTGGATTTGGATCTTCACAATCCTTTTTAAGAACAGAGATAGTATTAAACTAATTATAATATAGCAATAAATAGTAAGAAATATTACCTTAACAAATGTATTGACAGCCATAATAGCCATATCAGGATTGCTTTTAGCATAATTCATCAAATACAAATAAACAAGTTTCTTCAGTTCTAAGTTATCAGTTTGCATACAATTCACAACATCAGGAAATAAAGCAGACACATCTTTACCAACCGTCATAGACGCAATAACCTATCAAAAATAACAACAAAACTACTAGTATTATAACTTCTAAATAAAAATATAATTTATAATTATTCATTACTTTAATATATTAAAATATTAAGTTACAGTTAAATCTTTTAACTTTAAAACAAAATTTACCAATTAAATTAAATCTGCATATTTAATTCATTCAATGGAATAAACCAGTAGTCCCTAACTTATATTTTGTTTTTAAGGATCTTCTTTAATTATTCATTAGCCAGTTAACTATCGATTTATCGACAACTTTATGATTGTAATTCATGCTGAAGATCTTTAAGGTATTTACTTCAGCTTGACGGCTTATATATAAATTACTACTTTAATAATATACCAGAGCTAAGTTACATTGCATTTGATAATTATAAGACACAAATAAAAATAGAGTAATCTGTACATTTGTTTTGTGCATTGTTGCCCATTGTTACTAGAATATAAAAAGGTTGAAAACCGCTGTATTAGGGGATAGGGCCGATGAAAATTTGAGACCTCGCTTAGCCAAAATTGCTCAATTTAGCCCTGCCAGATAGTCACTATTCTAAACTACCTATGATTAAATTATCTGGTGAAATTTAGTAGTCCCAATAATAATATTTTAAAGTTTTTTACCTTTTTTACAGCTTCTCTCTTTTTTTCCTTTTTATCGCTATTCAATTCAGATTTCAATTCAAATATTTCACCTTTTTTTGTGGTGGTAAAATATTTGCTGTCTGTCATTTTGATATTTTAATTTTTCTGAAAAAAAAAAATATTTTATTGTATTTCAATATTTCAACTATATTTCATATTTCACTAATAAATAATTAGACGCGATCATCTTACTATTAGGTGTTATGAATAATATACAAGTGTTCACAGCAACTTATCTTTTTGAATTAAAGGGGCGTGTGCCAGCAGCAATCTGTTATGGAATTAAAATAAAAACACAATTTTAGTACTAAAATCACTTATATTTGTAAATACTGTAAAAAATATCAAACACCAACAATAGCTAAATCTAGTGATTAGTAGTTAAAAGGACTGAAGATAAGTACAATTATTGAGTAGTGTATTATTAGTGTTATTACTTATAATGTAAGTAAATAATAAGTATGTAATAAAATTATTTACTGTACACTATTTTCTACTCGCACTTGGTATTCGAGAATCGTCACTAGGACCACTAGATGGTCAATTTCAATTTGACAATATTGATTAGCAACTTGGAGAATAAGTTTTACACCAATTTCATAGTCCAATGCTAAAAATTACAATTTATTAACACTGATAAATAGTGAACATTGATAACACGTAGTGTAATTTTAATTTTGTACCGAAATGAAAACACAATATTACAGTCGTGTCATCCCTCCGGGGCAGGTTAGCAGTGTTGCAAATGTCAATAATTATAAGTTGGTATGAACACAAAATAAATAAATGTCATATTTTAGATTCGCTTCTGAAACACCGCTAGTTTCAAATTTGAAACTAAGATAATCTTAGATAATTTTTTCAAATTATAACTTACATCTTATACGGTTTCACCACAGAATATATGAAATTTATTTTTATTTTTTATTTTTATATATTTTTTAATTTATTATATTCTGTGGTTTCACAACACTCTACGGATTTTAGTAAATTAGGTACTGGTTTGAATTTTTATTTTTTCCTTGAAATATCTTTCCTGATCATAATTTTCATGTTTATTATAATTCCTTACAGGGTATTGACTTTTCCTGAGTTAATTATTCCTTCAAATTGTGTTCCTGAGTATACAGCACCTTATTTGTTAGGTATATTTCCTCTGAAAGTGTGAAAACTTAACAGCCCCGCACTCAAGTTTGATATCTTCCATTTTAACCAGTCGCCACCATCCATAATTATAAATATATCGCGTTAATACTCGACAAATCTGGGGAAAAATGTCCCAATACTATAGCTTATACTACATAGTAAATAGTATGGACTATGGGTTGCTTAAAAATCAAATAATCAAACCGATAGTCAATAACCTACGTTTTTGTTTGTCATTATTCAATAAATAGATTTATATTATTAGAATTAATTTAAAAGATTACCTTGCTATTATTATTTATATACTATTACCACACTAAGTGCCCGATTTAAACGACGGGAATTTTAATTTATATTAATCTATCATTATTTATTATAATATGTATTTAATTATATATATATTAGTGATGACTGATGTGTTTATATATTTTTAATATTTTTGTTTATATAACAAACTAGTAGGTACCTACCGCAAAATTACACCAATTTAACTAAATAAAACAAAAGTACAAAAATAATAAAATCTATTCAATACCTACTAATTACAATATTATAATAATAGATATAATATAATAGAAATACTATGTATTTTTATAGAATAAATAATATATGATGTATTTATCGACTTAAATCGTTTAATCGTTTCATTTAACGTTCTATGGACTATGATGGCATACTGGCAAGATGTAGAGTTGTAGAGAACCAGAGAAGATAAAGCTGATCTCTTCATCGTGAATTCGTGCATGATTTTAATGGTGATGGCTGATCAGTAACGATATGATTTTATTATTTTGGTTTGATTTTGTTTCATACCAACTCCATATACAAGGTGTAACAGATAGAACTGATTTTAGGAATGAATTTTCCCCAAATTAATATTTTTTATTTATTTTTTATTCATTAAGTGATTTTAGCGCTACATGTAATATACATGTATAATACATTTTTTTATGTTTATTTTTTAGAACTAAAAGTAAAAAAAATTTTGAATAAATTCAAAATAGCCTATTCATCGTGAATATCTGATTAAAAGAATAATTTTGATGGTAAAAAGATTTATCTAAGTCAAGTAGTTCTTTTTTAGAATATTTTTTAAAATTCAATATTTTTTTGGTTAAATTAATTTGGAACGTAATAACTTAAAAAAAAAAAATTATTTTTGAGAATTTGTTGACATGAGTACATTTCTTAAATTATTTACTTAGGTATCATATTATTATAATATCMAAAAATGTTGTCATAGCGATAGCTAGTACGCTGAATTAGCATAATGTTTTTTTTTTTTTTTTTGGTCAGGTCTTTCTGTTACACACTTGTATACATACTTAATGCGCGTGATTGACTTTGGGGGAGACCACGGATAACACAGTTAAAGTTGAGTTTAATTATTGTACGGAAAAGGTAATTTTTTTCAAATCTGGGAGTCTCCTTTCTTTTATTTTTCTGATTTGAGCAATGGTTTTAGTTTGCTTACATTGTCAAATTAATTTTGTTAATTCCATTAAAAAATTGTAAAAATCTATAGGTAATACCTATCGATTTGTCTTGTTTGCAGTTGAGTATTAACACAAAAAACTTTTTTTTTTAATTATTCGACTTTATTAATTATTACATACTTATTAATGGGGTTCGAAACTTCTTACATTTGCATGTTTTTTTTTACTGTGACACAGGGGCGGATCCAGCCAAAAATAACGGAGGGGGGCATTAGTATTTCATAGACGTAAAAGTAGAGGCTATTTCCAAAAATTAATAATTAATATACACAATCAATTTTATATGGATATGAAGTTTTTTAGAGAACGGGGTGGGGGATCGCCCCGATCACCTCCTCCTCTGGATCCGCCGTTGCTGTGACAAATATCATTGAACGAGTAAATACTAATTAGTAATTGTTAACAATTTTAAGTCTTTTTAAAGATTAATAACTAATCAACTTTGTTGCTGTCAATAATAACAGTATATGTTGTATCTAACACATTTTTGTGAACAGAAGTACCTAACTAAAAAGTTTTTATTTTTTTTTAAATTCACGACCATAATATAATAATATTTAGTTTTATTTGGTTTTTGAAAAATTATAAGACAATATTTATAAATTTATATATTTTGTCAATGGATAACGATTTGTCAAAAAACATATTTATAATAATTTAATACTTTATTGTTTCAACACTTCGATAAAGAATAAATATCACTGTATTTCTCTTATATTTTAATAATACCTCAATATTTGGTAAAAATCTAAAGTATGTTGAATTGTTGAAATATAATATACATTTGTAAATATCTATGATTATTTCTCCCGTGATACTAGCTTACTACTAATTTATCTATTCTGTGATACTAGCTCATAACCACGGTCACGAAATCATGGTCCTATATACTATATATAAATATATAATAGTAATAATAATAATAATAATAAAAAATTGTATAATATCACTCTGTATTATCACTCTGTTCTCGCCGCAACGCTACCGCCAATCAAAGAACACGTAAGCAATCAATGACGTCAACGATTCGTTTGCACATTATCAGTAGCGTTACAATTATCTCCCTGAAGGTTTTAATTTCAAAGTTTAAACAGATAAATACATAAAATTAAATAAAAAGTATACAACAAAATTAAACTCGACATCGAGCTGTTAACAGCTTAAATGTTTCATCCTGTAACGAATATACTACAACAGCCAAAATGATACCGTCGAATAAAAATTCAGCGATTGGGCTCTTATTTTTGTCGTACTGCATCTGTTTGGTGAAATCGATCGAGTTGACTTTTGAACTCCAGGACAAAGCAAAGGATTGTTACTACGAAAACATACTAAAAAATACTTCCACTACGCTGGAGTACCAAGTATGCAGTCGACTGGATATAGACAAGTGATACATTCATTTTATAATTAACTTTGTGTGTTGTGTTCCAATTGCAGGTTGTCACTGGTGGCCAGTATGATGTCGACGTGATAATTGAGTCTCCAACCAAAGAAATTCTATACAGACAAGTCAAATCACAATTTGACAGCCATACGTTTGTAGCACCAGCTACTGGACCATATGCCATTTGTTTTAGTAATGAGTTTTCAACATTTTCGCACAAGCTCGTGTACATGGACTTACAAGTTGGCGATGAAGACCCTCTGCCCGGTATAGGAGAACAAGTGACTGTTATGACTCAGGTATATTATCATAATTCTTTATTATCCATAGTAATTAGTATCTTAGTATAGAATATAAATATTCCAATGTGTTGTTTTAGATGGAAGCAACGTCACAAGATATTCATGAATATTTAAACAAAATTATTGACTATCAGACTCATCATAGACTAAAAGAGGCTCAAAGTCGTAAACGTGCTGAAGATCTGAATCACCATGTAGCGTTATGGTCAGCTACAGAAACTATTGCAATATTGTTAGTAGCCATTGTGCAAGTATTTATGTTAAAACGATTCTTCACAGAAAAAWCCCCTACGCAAAATCAATATAAGTCAATGTATTAAAACTATTAAGTTGAGATTAATTTATATTCATAATAAAATATGATTTTTAATTACCAATAAAAATGTATTATATTTTTTCTCAACATATTATTGTGTTTACAAGAGACTTATAATTGAAAAATATTTTTTGTGTGTTAATTAATATTCTTTTAGTCCAGGGTTTAACAAAAACTATTTAGATTAATATGTACATATATTGATTATAATTAATCATAGTTGGATGTTAAAATGCAAAGAATTTTTCATCATGCTTTGTACATTAATTTTTATGATATTGTCAAAATCAAATTGTTTACCTACATGATATTAAGCAATTTAGTTATCATTAAATCTTAATACTTTTAAAGTTTTAAACAACCCTATATTAATTATAATATATTATAAGTGTTTGAAGGGTTGTACAAATGTATTACCAATATTTTTTTGTACTATATAATTTATTATTTTGGATTATTAAATTAATGAGTTTGTACATTGACTTGAGTCTTGAAGTGTTAAATTAAATTCTGTATGAAATTTTGGTTAATATAAATAATAACTTATAAGGATATTATATTATAATGCACTGTTTTTATTTATTTTTTTAAATTAACATTTATAGCTTTCACAAGAATTAGGTTCTTAAATACTAACATAATTATTGGCTGATTTTAAAAATAAGTTACTAATGTAAGTATTAAGTGAATATTATGTAATTTAATTGAAAAGGAGATTAATTGATCTAGTTTTGGCCTGTACATGTGTAATATGTATTCACATGATAGAATATATCAGATATCTATGGAAATATGTCAAAATCCATGCATAATTATGTGATTCAGGGTAATATAAACACATTTATTAATATTATAATCCTATGTAACGCCAACAGCCAACAGGTATAAACTATATTGCATAATATTATACTTAAACTATATAGGTAACATACTATTATTGTTACCTTGTGATTATCAGTTAGGTATTTGCATAGATACAGCAAGGCTTGTGTTTGTGGTTGGCCTGTCATGACAGATTAGAGCCACCTACCTTATATAGTATACTATAATATTCTATATAGAGTCTAAATTTAACAATCTGAAATAAAAATGTGTATCCACATATAATCAATTATAAACAGAGAACAATATATAGTAATAAACTAATGAATTAGTAAATTAAGAGTGATCTTTGGGTTTATGTTTAGGGAGTTTGAAGTATGTTTTTCTAACTACTAAGAAAAAAATATCTTATAACACCATAGGTACATACTATAGAGTATTTAATATAAGAAGTAGAATAATTAAAATTTTTGGATTTTCATGATTCTGCTAAAAGAAACTTATGAAGAACTTTGTATTTGATACCTAAGTTACAAAATATTTCACAAATTTTTATCATCCTTTAAAAATTTGAATTTCAACCACAAGAAAAAAATGTGCCTTTGTATTTTTAAATTTGTTAAAAATATGTTATGTGGGACCTTGTYCTAAATTTTAAAGATTTAAAATTATGATTCAGTAAATAGTAAAATGTTACAATTTTTATGATTCATAGTATATAATTAGAAAATAGCTAAAATTGTGGCTGCAACTTGTTTGCGCACAATCTTTACCTGAAAAATTTGAATTTGTTTGTGCACACGAAAATAATTATACTATTTTAATTCAGTTACAGATGAGCATAGAGCATTAATAATCATCGATAAAGAGTATGGAAATGTATACCAAATTAAATATACACAAATAATGGGAAATTGTTATTACGGAAAATAATAGACATGTATATAATCCTAAACGTATATTATTTACCAATCATATTATATTAAAATTAACATACATTTTTAACTTGAACATGTGTTAAATATTATTTATTCACAATTATTAATAAGCAAGTATTAACATGTATTTTTAACCAAATCTATGAATACATTAATAGACAGTCCTAAATCTGTTAAGGGGAAAGGAAAATGTATGGAAGTACTTTAATAATTTACTTATTAATAAACAAATATTAATATGCAAGGTATTTAACTATTAAAGTCTAAAAGGCGTAAAAGGTAACTGTGCGCAAACCGCGTGTATGGTTACGGCACAAAGTGCACAACTGTTCCCAAACGAGTGGTAGCAGTTTTGTGCCATAAGTTGTCTTTTAGATATGTTACAGTAAAAGATGTTAAATTTATATTTACGTTATTAACTAGCAATTAACGTTAATAGATAATAATAAATATTTTACAAGGCTTATAACGTCAATAACTAAGGATTTACGCTAATTCCAAACAATATTAGTTAATCATGTTATTTGTATTTAAATTGTTATATTATTATTTATTTTCACATGACAATGAACTGTGACATTTTGAATTGCATAATTTTCCTACTAATCGACAGGTGCATTTATTTGTTTTACACTTCATTTTACAGTGACATCTTTGATAGCCTTGTGTGCCYAWRAGACTACTACATCCTGCTGCTTCTCGAAGTGTTATCTCTTTTTCTTTAAATGATTCAACCAGAGTTTTGAGATCAAGCAACATTTCTTTGCATGGCACAAGTTGAGATCTCGTATACTTGTGTTTAAGAAAACCATTTTCGGTACCTAATTCAAATATAAATACATAAATACYTATAAATTTAAATTTTTTATTTTATTTTACTTACATAATTTATAAAAGCCGTTGTCAACATTAGCAATAACTGCTAATAAATTGCGTGGGGATCCACGGGCTCTATCAACGTCAGGAATGGAAATACGAACAGTTGTTCCGACTTCCAACTCTTGATATTTTTTATTCTTCCGCACATTCTACTCTTCCGCACGTTTACTCGATAATGCTCTAAGTAATACGAATTTCGTAAGATGGTCTTGGTAATTTAAAATGAAGCGGAATCCATTAATATGTTGTGATTGCATATCAATTAAATCAATTTGAGCTCTTGAATTAAAAGTGGAATGTAAAATAGGTTTTGAAACTAAGCCTTTTTTAGGATTTGATGACTTTTTTTGGCAATGTGTGCATAGATTTAAATATGCCATAATAGTTTCGTTCGTGATRTTGCAATATTTTGATTTTAATTCAGAATCCATTCTACATCTTCCGCCATGGCCAATAGTAKAATGAGTCGAATGCAAAATATTGAACAACTCGTCAATTGTAACGTAATATAGTAYAGTATCATCGTGTACAGGTTTAATAAGACGCTCTTTATTATTTATTGTTAAAATATCATATTTACGTACCATACGATATATATATTTTGTGCACAAACCAGTACCGCCTAAAATTGTTTAAGGATAAATCGCTAATATATTCATTACTCAATGTTGTTAAAATTTAAACTTGTATCACTTATAAATAAATTATGTGGCTGTATGATGAACTTTTTTTTGTATGTCCGATAATAAAAAAGCTGGTAAGTCGTGGATGTCGCTCTGCTGTACAGTAGGTAAGTAGGTTACTGTAATGGATGAAATTAAATTTGTATCCAATGATATTATATCATTGTATACGAAAAACGATTCTGAGCGGAGACGGTTTATCTGTCTAGGATATATTATAGATTATTAAAAATGTTCAAATCTTAGATTTAAAAAGATAAACTTTTATGAATTTCTATCTAAGATGATTTGAACATTGCYGTAATTTTTACGTATTTAGTCAAAATTTGAACTATAAATGTTTATAAAAATAATCGTGCCAATGTATTTTTAATATTTTCCAACTGCTATTGTAATAATTAGTTAAGAACCTAATTGTATTCAATTTTCAAGCATTTCTAGCCAACAAGTACATTTTTATCGATATTTATAGAAAAAAATTAAATAAAAAAGTCGAAAAATTAAATTGTCAACTAACAGCTCAAAACAAGTCAAAATATTTTGAAAATCTTATCAAATGACAAATATAGAAAATGCCTATATAAACATTTAGTGAAAATTTCAAGTATCTGAGGTCATTTGTCAGAGTTACACCAAAATAAGAAAATCACTAAATGAGAAATCTAGTGAAAATCCAATGTTGTAAAAATTTAAATTTTAAACGCTCATAAAAACTTAATTTGACTTTTTGTTGGAAATTTATTTTTGTGATAAAGATTGACAAACTTGTAAGGAATCTTTTATTAAATTTTCAAATCTTAGATTTAAAAAGAAAATTTTTAATGAATTTCTAGCTAAAAATAATTTGCGAATTGTTGTGATTTGTACGTATTTTGTCAAAATTCAAACTTTGAATGCTTATAAAAAAAATTGTGACTGCATTTCTTTTATTTTTCAACTGCTGTAACAATATGTTAGGAACCTTGTATTAAATTTTCAAGCTTTTCTTCCCAACAAATAAATTTTTATCGATATTAATTTTAAAAAAAACTAATAATGATCGAAAATTGCATATGCCTTTAAATAGTTCAACTTAAGTTAAAATGTTTTGAAAATTGTATAGTGGATAGAATATACTTAGGTACATAAACATTCGGTGAAAATTTCATGAATCTATGGTCATTTGTTTTAAAGTTACATCACAAACCAAAATCGATTTTGTCGAAAACTGATTGTGCGTAAAATTTCCTGTTTTTCCCTTGATTTGTTTATTCCGATTATTTAGAAATATATTTTTTTCTTTTGACCCTCAAAGTACCAACTAGATTCACTTTCTGATCGAACGACTACTGAAGTCGAAAATCGAAACACTATTACTGCCCCTAAACTTGATGACAGACACAAAAAAAAAAAAAATACACACATCGTGGTAAAATCAATATATTCCTCACTCCGCTTAGAATCTAAAATTTTAAGACAGTTTTTACGATATTTTTAAACATTAGGTATGATTGCATAAATTATAAATATTAAAAATGTATTAACAAAACAATTTGCACATTTTTGAAATTTTTATTACTTTCGTAAAATGGTGACTAAGTAATTGCTTTTCTTTACTAAGTAATATCGATGATTATTATGATGAGATATAAGTATACCATTCACGAGAGTCGAGAATACTAGGAATCTTGAATTAAATTTTTCAAGCTTTTTACTTTAAAGAAACTATAATTGTAGGTATTAACTTAAATATATCAATAAGTTAATAAAA